CATATTAGTCATATAATGTGGATAATAATATACTTTCTTCTTTTTTTTTTTTAATTTAAATATTTATTTATTTTCCATATAATATACACATTTCTTCATCATTTTCATATACAAAAAAAAACATTTTCCAAACCTTTAAATACTTTCCTACCCCTAATTTATTCCCTCAGCGACCCCCAACCCACTCCAAAAGCCCACCCACCCCCTAAAATATCCCCATTGCCCATTAATAAACCCTCCCCCTCTGCATATTTCTAATGACTTTTTTTTTTTTCCTAAATAGAATATACAAGTTCTTCCTCTCCTCTTCCTAAGTTGTTACTTCGTGGATCTTGCTACAAAATCTTCCCATGTTCTCCACTTCTTAAAAAATAGCCCCATCTTGTCTTCTTGCATATAATATAATTTCTCCATCTTACATGTCTGATAATATACTTTCTTCTATTCTTGATAAAGGTAACATTTACTAACTGTTTAAGTGTACATTGTGTTTTAAGCAAAGTCACCTATAGTAATGCATTTGACAGAAGTCAACTGACTGAAAAAGCATAGCCACCCTCTCCCACACTCACTAATCAAACAATCTAAAATGAAAGCTGCGTGTGCCTAGTCTTTTCAGCATCAGAGATCTCAGTAGCATATATGTGATATAATCAATATGTGATGGTTTCTCTGCAGGCTGCTGAAGTGTGTCTTATGTGTAAAGCTTAGAATGTAATGTACACATTTCTACTGTACAGTGTTGACAGAATGATAGAATACTCAGAATATCTCCAGTCTGACTCTTTGTCTTAAATGTGTTTGGGCTGGCCATAGGCAATAGGCTGCCCATAAATATTACATGTCAACTGGACACGCAACATGATGGCCAAAATGTTTTTTTTCACCATTGTTGTGAAAACATGTTCTCATGACCCAAGTGTTCATGGTCATTTCTATGGAAGAGGCAGGAGGTAGAGCAGGCAGAGCCATCCTAAGGTGATTACAAAAATCATGAACCATAGTCATATTAGGAAATAGTCTTGATTAAAGAAGAAGTATAGCCAAAGGTTTTTTTGGCTGTACTTCTCCTATGGATCACAGGAGTGCAGTTTGTGATCCATAGGGCTAAAACCCGCTGTCAGCTGACATCACAGAGCTCCTCCATATGGTCGGGATCCACCCAGAAGCCTGGACCAGCACCTGCTTCAGCTTCTTAGCAATCTGCAGAGAGCAGGAGGCTGACAGTCACCACTCTCTGCTCAGAACTAACAGGAAGAACTGAGCAATCACAGAATGATGCATCATCGGATTGATGCTGCATTCACCTAGGTAAGTATAATGTTTTTGGTTTTTTTTTTGCAAAGTCCATACTTCTCTTTTAAGTTAAACAAATTACTTTCTTCATGTGTCCATGGTCTTTTAATAATAAAAGTCCCTTTACCAGGCACTCTTGTTGTAAAGCTAGATAAAAGTACATTGGCCTACAATTTGTCTTCCTTCTCATTTCCTTGCTTAACCCCTAGACACCGAGCGCATGCAAATATGTGGCCTCTCAGTGTCTGCTCCTTGACACCGAGCGGCCGCATATTTGCATGCCAATTGAAAATACATACGTGCGAGAGCGCGCACCCTGCACACTTCCAGCACATATGTCCGTGACTCACGGAAAGGTCCTGATCTCCCCGATCATGTGACCCGCCTTGACAGCAAATCACGGTGGTCACATAACCCTAAAACCCCGCCCCACATCCCGCCTTCTGAAACTCTTAAAGGGCAGGGAGGCACCGGCACAAAAGGGGTTAAGTGAAGTAGTTTTCAATCAGTGGTTTGTGAGTCACGCAGGGCACTCACATATGTTTGAAATTTCCATGAAAAAACTTTCAGCAGGTGACCAGTGAATTTTGAAGAATTTGAATAGAATAACTTTAGGCAGAGATACTTAATGTACATCATTTTTTTGAAAGTTTATGTATAGTCATAGTTTTGGATAAAGTAAGAAAGGATTAGAACTCCTGTCAATGGTTTATTACTTTCTGTGTTCCTGCTAGGTAGATTTACAATCTCTATTCGTCCTGTTGACCTTCATCTTAGAGACAGTGACTGATAGGAAATTCAAAATTTTAGAGTTGTCATCACACAAGAGATAAGGAAACATATTTCAATAGTTACGCCAGTTCTGGTGACAAATGTCTAAGATGGGGATTTCTTCTCACTTCTTTTTGCACTCTCAAGACAGTAGGAGTAATAGGGTTTTAACCCTTCTCTACTCTATCCATAAGGAAAAAACATTTAAATAAAAGTTAAAGTAGTTCTAAATCCTGAGATTTTGTTTTCTAAAGCAGAATACCCTTTTCATCCTATTTTGCATCTCAGTGGTGTTGATCTCCTCCAGCCTCCATGGCTACATGCACTTGCTTCAACATTGAGGTTGATTTACTAAAGACAAATGGACTCTTCACTTTGCAAGGGAAGTTGTGCTTCGCAAAGGAATTTTACCCCGAACTTAGTGAATGAGATGTAGCTCTGCTGACTTTCACCATCCAATCACGTGCAAGCAAAAATATTGTTCTTTTTATTGCATGTGATTGAGTATTTCACCACATTCACCAAGCTCTGGAGACAATCTCCTTGCAAAGTGCAACTTCCCTTGCAGCCTACTTGCCTTTAGTAAATTGACCCAATTGCCTTCACAGTATTGCTCTGGACCAGCATCTACTGTAGATAGTGACACCAGTGAACTATGCCTGCACATTGTATGTGAGCACAGCTGTTGCTGTCTTTACCAGTAGTACAGACTGATCTAGTGGAAACACAACTGGGATACACTTGTCATGCCATATCAGGAGGTGTCTGAATAGAGACCTTCATTTCATGATGACCAGGTATTCTTATAATAAAAGCTGCATATTTTAAATGATTTAAAGCAATGTTTTTTATACATTTGGAAATGACTTTTGTAATCATACTGATATGCAGGGGTGTATTTACCACAAGGCGAACAAGGCATTTGCCTAGGGCGGCATTTTTCAGGGGGGCAGCATTGCCCCTTAGAAGAAGAGACGGAAGAAGGGACACATGCGACATGGGGACCTGGTGGGCTCTGAGAGAGGCTGTGGGTTTCATGGCAGTAGATGTACAGCCCAACTCTCGTTCATGGGGATGCCCGGAGCTGTTAAAGTGAGTGTCTCTCTCTCGCCATGGGGGATGGTGGCTGGTGTATGGGGGGGCAGTGGTAGTGGAAGGCTCTCTCGGGTGGGAGGCAGGGGTGTTTTTGGTCAATGTCAGGCTCTCTCTGCGCGGGGCACCGATTTTTTTGTTGCCTAGGGCAGCACAAAACCTAAATAAACCACTGGAGGGTGGTAGTGGAAGGCTCTCTCGGGTGGGGGTAGGGGGGCTGGGGTATTGTTGATCAATGCCAGGCTCTCTCTTCGTGCGGGGTGTTGGTCAGTGTCAGGGTCTTTCTAAGGGGGGGCGATTTTTGTGTTGCCTAGGGCAGCAGAAAACCTAAATACACCCCTGGGCGGTGGTAGTGGAAGGCTCTCTCGGGTGGGGGTAGGGGGGTTGGGGTATTGTTGGTCAATGCCAGGCTCTCTCTTCATGGGGGGGTGTTGGTCGGTGTCAGGGTCTCTCCATGGGGGGGAGCCAATTTTTGTGTTGCCTAGGGCAGCACGAAGCCTAAATACACCACTGCTGATATGATGAAGCTTACTGTATATACAAATTTAGGAATTGCGTGTAGACCAAGCTGTCAAAATGTAGGCCTAGGGATGGATGAGAATGCAAAGTCAGCATAAGCGCATAAAGCACACCAACCCAGTTTTCTGGATAAGACCAAATGTTACTTATTCACAATGCAACAATAATATACAGCCTATTTAAAGTGTTGAGTCCAAGACGTTTTGTCAGTTCATAATTCCACCTAGTCAGCAATTCTTCTGGCTAATACCAAAAATTTAAGCTTTTTTTTAAAAAAAAACATACTTGTGAATGCAACACAACTGCTCAGGCCTAGAAAAGGCCAGATAATAACACTGTATAAACTGTTACGGTCTACACACAATACAGAATGCCAGCAAATCTCGTCCATTTCCAGATTCAAAATTCAGATTGCATACTTTACAACCAGAAGTACCTTTTGGTGTTCAAACATATTAGCATGCAAAAAGAGTTATGATAACTTGGCATTAATAAACTCATACTAACAATATGTTTCAAGATCTAATATATCACAGAAATACCTAACCTTTTCAACTTATGCTGAGATGTTTTCATAATAGCATTACTTATGTAAAAATATGCGTGATTGAATGAAGGAGCTTTGATTGTATGAAGAGCTGACGTACAAAGGCACAGACATAAGACATAATATGATTAATTACACTGTATATGTTTATCATTAAAAGAAAGAAAGCAGCAAGTAACAAAAATCTATAGTGGCATTTTATAGTCTTTAGCAATACTAGCCAGCAGTATAAATTAGGTTTTTGTGTGTTAAGTCTATGTTAGCATTTCATTGTCAATTACATATAAAGGTGCTTCACTGCTGGCAGACAGCCTGGCTATAAGAAAAACGATTGGGCATTTTTAACTGGATACACAGGGTAGTTTAATGGCCTGTTATACCAACAAGTTATACTGGTTCAGTTTGTAGCTTAACCTCCTTAGTGGTCTGATTATGTAAATATTTCTGTGCTCAAAGCGGTACATTTTTTTGCATGGAAATATGTCTTTTTTTAATATAGGCCTGTAATTTTTAGGAATAACTCACTGAAATCTGCCCGAAGAGTCTAGTAAACATCCTGGGTATGATAAAATTTGAAACACGAAAACAAAAATTATAATATAATAAATAATCATAAAAAATAATAATATAATAATAATAAATTTAATTCAATAATATAATCAAATCAAAAGCACTGAAATGTTAAATAGAGCGCCAAGTTCGCACATCACTGAGCTTAGTCACAGAATCGTTTTTAGTGTCTGATGACGAATTTCCCCACGAATCATTATCACTCAATTCTGCAAGTAGTTCTAATTTACTATCACTGTTCTCTAGCTGGGCTAAAAACGCTTTTGACCTAAAGGGACGCTTTTTGGAAGCGATGGACGTTTCTCAGTTTCCAGGTAGAAAGAACAGTAAAAATGCAGGCAGGGCACAGGACAAAGCACTCGGAACAAAATGTATGTGAAATGCTTTGAAACAGTAATGTTTTATTATGCGATCTTAGTGTATTACATGAATGTCACTTTTTAACATTTTTAAATTTCCCGCTGGTTCCGTCCCCCGTATGTCCCAATGCTTGCAGGGACCGGAACCCGGAAGACGGATGCCGGCATCAGCCGGAGGAGATGGCCAGGGATGCTGTAGGGGGGACATCGCAGGAGTGAAGGACAAGGTAAGTGCAAGAGGGATCCCGGAGCAACGCTGCAGGGGTTACCGCTTTTGGTACTGAAAGTGAGCTACACTTGGGAATACTGCCAGGTGGGTTAAGAATTAAAGCTGAACTTCAGGCAGATATAAAATACATAAATGAATGGAGCTCTGTAATTATAAATATATATTTAATAATTAATTTTGCATGCAAGCAGTGAATCAGACCTGGTGTCTTCCTTGTGCAGGCCCTGTACAGCAAAGCTGGAATGTGGGAGGAGGAAGCAGGAGGCTAGTTATTATTACCTTGTTATTTTTAGAGTTCTGCTTTAATTTCCTTAATAATGTAACATATTGGAATTCAGAAGGAATATGTTGGGATTATTGAAATACAATCTTTATTCATCTCCTTTAGCCAAATCCCAACCATCCAAAAAAGCATATCGCAGAGTACTGCACCTGCCCAGCTAATTTGGTATCTAATAGAAAACACAGTGCCATTACATTAATAAAAACACTAACTCCAGACAATGTTTTTCTTTTTACTTTTGGTCAGAGTTTAAGTATCTGCTAAGAATGTGTTTTATTTTGTCTGTGTGCCTGTTAGAGACCTTTCTCATCCCCCCCGACTGGGAAATTTCCCCAATAGGAATGCAAATGGAAAAACATTGGGCTTTAACAATTCATCAGAGATTATTCAGACTATTGTGTTGTAGTAACTTGTATCAGCACATGATGCTACTATGTAGCTATTCATTGTACACAAAATCCTTAATTCATGCTGCACACCCCAAGGCTAGAGTCACATGATTGTGGCTCTGTGAGCCCTGATTTGTGTGGGCACGGTAGCCCATTCATTTGAATAGGCTGCTGTGCCTCCTGAAACACTGGGAACAGGTCCCTACAGCCTGCACAGGAACTGCAAGTGCAGTGCGGTTCCCAGTGCAGGAGTGATGTCCAGTGCAGGAGCAATTTCCAGTGTGTGTGGCATGCCATTAGCATTATTGGAACCCACATGCAGCTATTGCATTTTCTGTGCGGGTGTTTGCGGCTGGGAACAGATGTAATCACCTGCACAGATGTGAACCTAGCCTAATAAAAGATATTCAAAGGACAACAAGCAAACTATTCCAGGCATTGCACATGATAACAATGTGTAAATAAAAAAAACGTGTAAATCAGGCATAATAAATCATGAAACACAAGTCTGTATCCCAATGTGAGATCTAGATTTCTACATCAATCCACGTAAAAGCATTGCTCAGTTCTCCAGGCAGGGCTGCTGTTAGAAACCATGGGGTCCCATACAGCTAACCTGACAGCCCCCTCCCCCCAAAAAAAAACAGTTTACTATGCTTCTGTTATGAATAAACACAGTGAGTGATATGTACAAATCACTCAATGTGTTCATTCTGGTAAGGAAAGGGCTGGTAAGGAAATGTGACATATTTACCAGACCCTTCCCCACTCTCCATCCTGAACGATCCTATTGTGCACTGGCAGCTGCCAGTAAGGAGGAAAGCTGGCAGCAATGTGGGGGTGGGGGCACAAAGGGGGGCCTGGGCAACAGGGGGGAACGTATGGTGCACAGGGAGGGTGATGGGTACAGTGGGGGTGGAAATTTCTGGAACCAATTCCCTGTATGGCTCTCTTGGCAGCAGCTGAAGGCCAGTGAGAGGGAGAGGAGAAGAAGCCAGCTTTCAGCTGCTGCAAAGAGAGCCATACAGGGGGTAGGTTCCAGTAATTGCCTCCCCACCCCGCCATGCCGATCACCCCTCCGCCCACATCCAATTCACCCAGCTTCCTGGGCCCCCCTGCTGGTCTGGGCCCCGTACAGGAGGACTGGTGGTACCCCCTTATCCACTGCCCTGTCTCCAGGTGTAATCCCACCACCTACTGGAATGGAACTCACCAAATCAGAATGATTACCATTTTAAAGGTAAGTCAAAATGTTCTTCATATTCTCCACTCCATGGAATCAAACTCTCCTCTCTTTATGGTCTCAAATGCCATATAAATGGATATCAATTGACAAATCAGTACTTTCTTTTACCAGCATGTAGGCATGAAGTTCTCAGAAAAGAAGAAAGATAATTCTCATAGTGTAATAGGTTTATTAAAACAAGGTTAATAAGCAGGTATCACTCACATGATGTGCTTGATTAGCTGCTTCCCTGGCTGCAGTAGACGGAAAATAATGTCTCTGAAACTGGAAGTGAAGTACTTGCCGCTTCTAGCTTCATTACTCTCAGAAGAGATTGGAGCAAGGTATCTTAATGAATGGGCACACTTGGGCACTGCCTAGGGGCTTTATGTGTATGGGGGATCCATGATAAAGGCCATGACATGGGGGGGAAAGGAGTTGTGTTAGGGGGGTTAACTGTTGATTTGTCCGCTGGTGACACTCTTCATTGATAGAAGAGACTGAAGAAGGAGCAGTGGATGACTTCTGCAGGAGAGAGGATTCAACTTTCTCCTCCCTCCTGCAGGGGGCAGCAGAGAGCTGCACTGATACTGAAAACATATCTCAGACTCAGCACACCTGATGTTTGAGGAACACTGTGATGGGGACACCTGATGTATGGGGACACTGTGATGGAGAACATATGATGTATGAAGACACTGTGATGGGGGACACCTGATGTATGGGGACACTGTGATGGGGAACATCTTATGTATGGGGACACAGTGATGGGGACATCTTATGTATGGGGACACAGCATGGGGCGATTTGGGGGACACCTGATGTATGGGGACACTGATGTATGGTGACACTGTGATGGGGAACATCTTATGTATGGGGACACAGTGATGGGGAACATCTTATGTATGGGGACACAGCGATGGGGGACACCTGATGTATGGGGACACTGTGATGGGGAAAATCTGATGTATGGGGACATATGTGGAGACATCTGATGTATGGGGACAATGTGATGTGGTACACCTGATGTATGGGGACACTGTGATGGGGAACATCTTATGTATGGGGACACAGCGATGGGGGACACCTGATGTATGGGGACACTGTGATGGGGACCCCTGATGCATGGGGACACTGTGATGGGGAAAATCTGATGTATGGGGACATAGTGATGGAGACATCTGATGTATGGGGACAATGTGATGTGGTACACCTGATGTATGGGGACACTGTGGTGGGTGGTGGGGGACACCGGATGTATGGGGATACCTAAATTATGTGGGGACACTATGATGGGGATACCTGATGTATGGGGACACTGTGATGGGGACACCTGATGCATGGGGACACTGTGATGGGGAAAATCTGATGTATGGGGACATAGTGATGGAGACATCTGATGTATGGGGACAATGTGATGTGGTACACCTGATGTATGGGGACACTGTGGTGGGGGACACCGGATGTATGGGGATACCTAAATTATGTGGGGACACTATGATGGGGACACCTGATGTATGGGGACACTGTGATGGGGGACACCTGATTTACAGTATATGAGCACTGTAATGAGGGAAGCTAATGTATATAGACACTGTAATAGGGTAACCTGATGCACGCTAGTAGGGGCCCCAATGCATTATTTTGCCCAGGGGCCCATGGTGCTATTAAGATGACACTGGATCAGTGAGTTAATTTTTCTCAATCTCACCCTGCCCTCACTGTAAGAGCAGTTTACTGCAATCTTGGGCTCCTAGAGGGTGTTTTAGAACAGCAAGTTGTTAAGATCCTAGGGTTGAGGTTCACATGAGTCTCTGGTATGCTTGCAATATTTTTGCACTGCAGAGTTCACCATTTGTCATTAGCTATGTTAGTTTGGAGATCATACTGAGGGGTTGATTTACTAAAGGCAAATAGGCTGTGCACTTCAAAGTTCACTGCTAGTGCAGTTGCTTTAAATCCAAGGGGAGCTCTGAAATGAGACGAAGCTCTGCTGATTTCTTTTATCCAATCATATGCCAGGAAAAATTCAGTTTTTTATTTTCCGTGCATGTTCCCCTCAGATCTAGAGCAACTGCACTTTCAGTGCACTTGCAGTGCACTTGCAGTGCACATCCTATTTACCTTTAGTAAATTAAACCCTTTGTCTGCAGACAGCTCTTAACTTCCCTATTACCTACCAAAGCAATCAAACCTGTTATACAGTTGCAAGAAAAAGTATGTGAACCCCTTGGGATTACGTGGAGTTTTGCATGAATTGGGCATAAAATGTGCTCTGAACGTCATCTAAGTCACAACAATAGAAGAACACAGTCTGCTGAACATAATACTACACAAACATTAGATGTTGCCATGGTTTAATTGCACATAACATGTAAACATTCACAGTGCAGGGAGGAAAAAGTATGTGAGGCCCTAGCTTAATGACTTCTCCCAGAGCTAATTGGAGCCAGGAGTGAGCCAACCTTGACTCCAATCAATGTGATGATATTGGATGTGTTGCTGGCAGCTGTCCTGCCCTTAAAAAAAACACACCTGTTTTGGGTTTATTGGTTTCAAGAAGCACTGTCTGATGTGAACCATGCCTCGCAGAAAATAGCTCTCAGAAGACCTACAATCAAGAATTGTTGACTTGCATGAAGCTAGAAAGGGTTACAAAAGTATCTCCAAAAGCCTTAATGTTCATGTGTCCACGGTATGACAGACTGTCTACAAATGGAGAAAGTTTAGCACTGTTGCTACTCTCCCTAGGCGTGGTCGTCCTGTAAAAATGACTGCAAGAGCACAGCGCAGAATGCTGCATGAGGTAAAGAAGAATTCCAGAGTGTCAGCTAAAGACCTACAGAAATCTCTGGCACATGCTAACATTTTTGTTGACACATCTACAATAAGGAAAACATTACACAAGAATGGAGTACATGGGAGGAACTCCACGTAATTTCCAAGGGGTTCACATACTTTTTCTTGCAACTGTATATACTTTGCGTGTTGAGAGTAATACTTTTACAAATGTAATTTATTTAAAATTTCCTCCTTGCCAACAATACCAAAAGAGAGATAAAACTGGATTAGTGCAACAGCC